CTTATGGACAGTGGCCGATTAATGTAGGAAAGTTACCACAAATACCTCTAATCTTTATTATGAGTTATTGTATGGTTATTAAATGGCACCTGCAAAATAATTATACTTGTGCTCTCACTACTTTATTTTGGGATTTAGTATTTTGTCCAACAAACAAAGGACACATTTAGGATCATTAAAAGCTGTATCAGTTTTGAAGAAAGACCACAGATTTTTTTTAAATTGTCAAATATATTCATTCAATTTAATTTCAATTTAATTTTATTTATAAAGTATACATACATATTCATAGTAAACATTTGCCAGTCGTTTACGTGAATCAGCATTGATTCACACTGAAATGAAGAATGAAAGTTGATGAATGAATAAAAATCTGGAGAAATTAGCCAAACGTTACTAAACCAAAGCCAGCTCCAGCAGTTTGGAATGGTTGGAGCTGCAGATGGAAGAAAATTCATTAAAATTTGAAATGAAACACCCTTAATGAATTTCCAATAGCCTTTTAGGGAGGAACCAACCATTTAAAAGTGGCTGTTCTCACACCCCAAACAGCACTGGAAATGAATACATTTCAATGTTATGATGTGTGATGTGAAAAAACAACAACATTTTAGTGAACTAAAGTAAAAAATAAAAAATAGACCTTCGGAAAAAAATAACTGAAATAATTTTGAGAACTTAAGAAACTAACTAAAATAAAGTAAATTAAAATAAAGATGGCGTATCCTCAGTTTTGATATTTGTTCATTTGGAAAAATTTGTTATCACAAACTGCAAGGTTAGGGTTTCATTGATATTTCAAGTGAGGCTTTGGGTGTCTAAACGCCTGTGAGCCAACTGCTTTCTAAAATTCTGCTTAAACTGTAATATCTATGCTCATTTTCCATATCTTGCCTCTGGTATTTGTTATAAATAAAATAATAAGTGATAAAGACTAAAACTAAGTAAAGAAACAAAAAGTCAAAATAAAATTAAAAATAATGGTAGGAACATGCAAAAACTATAATGCCTTTTGTTTTCTATATTAAAATAATTTAATTGTTGTCTGAAGATAATATTGATCCATTTGGGCAGGAGATGGGGACCTTTTTATTTATTTTTTTAATGCCCAAGTCTTTAATCTTGTCAAACTGCATGACACACTGGCAGACAGACAGAGCTGCCGCTCAGTGAAAATGACGAATCTGCGGATGCAACATCTGGAGCACGGAGAGTGGAATCTGTAAATAAATCTAACCACTTAAAAACAGTTAACGTGGAACACAATGCGTGAAAACGGGGCACAAACGTGGGGCAGGTCTGTAAATGTAAATATGAATTGTAACACTTTTCCCATTTCCATAATCTGCTGATATGATATGATTGGGCTGTTAAACCTACAGGGGAACTACGAACATTATGGTGCTGTACTAAAATTGGCTTCTTATCGAGTTGTCTTGCATAAAGACCACAGATAAGCGCCATAAATCAAGCTCATGTCAGGTCTAATGGGTCGAAGTGCGTTTAAGGTTCGCTTACATTACCCTTTCTAATATCTGTTGCCGTGTTGCGAGCCTTTTGAATTGTCTGAATTGATTTACACTTTGGGTAAGCTGGGACAAGAAATGGAATTTCAACTTTTACATTGAAGTTGTTTGTTTTTCTCGTGTGGTTCTCGTTTACTTGACCTGCATGAAACAACACAGTATGAACGTTGACGTGTGCTTCAGTCATCCGCAGTGACATTATTAAGTGCAGGTGGGTTCTCTTCACTGCTCTTCTTCTTTTATATATATATATATTTAGTTTTTGTTTGCATTTGTCCTCCACCTCTACTCATTCGCCCAACGAGGTCGTGACAGAGAAGACAAACGTACTTTGGCAACAAAACGTCCAACGGTAGGAGAACTGCGAAAATACGTGACAGAAAACTTATATTAAATTTCATACCAGAACTGTTTGATATACAGATCGCGTTTATCAGTTTATTATCAAGAGTTATTAAGTGCTCATATGATTTTTAAAATTATTATTGAGTGAAAGCGCCTTTCTGAATGCTGGTACGTCCTATAAAACCCCACTAGAGAGTGCTGTGGTACAACTTTAAGGACAACCATCACTAAGCTATTCCAATTCTTTATGAAAGCTATTCATAAGTAAAAAAAACCCCGTTTGCCTTCAAATGGACCAAGCAGCCAAGAACGTCCAAGCACAGATATAATCTTCAAAATATGTTTTTTATTATATCCCAGAAAAGATAAGAGGTTATTTCAAAAATACACAATAATAGAAATAAGCTATTTTAAGAACTATGTGGGCCTATAAAAGAGGTAAACTTAACAGACTTCTACTCAAAAAATATCATAACTCAACAAACTGACCTATTTAGTAACTGAATAAACCTTCTTTTAGCATCAGATTTTGTTTTGGGGTATTTCAGTGGGCCTATGTGAAATGTAGCTTCAGTTTCCTGTTCTTAACTTACTGTGGTCTGCTGCTGCTGTAGCTCATCTGCTTCAAGTTTCAACCTGCTGTGCTCTTCTGCATACCTTGGCTATAATGAGTGGCTATTTGAATTACTGTTGTCTTCCTATCAACTCAAAGCAGTCTGTCCATTCTTCTTTGACCTCTGACATCAAGTAGACATTTTCCCCCAGAGAAACTCAAGACTTTCAGTCTGCCTTGAAGCGATCCAAGGGTGTATAGTATACCCAGAACATGGTTGAGACACATCTCTCGGCTGGCCTGGGAACAACTCAGCGTTTCTCCGAATCAGCTGAAGAAGGTGGCTGGTGAGGGGGAAGTTTGTGCTCTCTGCTTAGGCTACTGTCCCCACAACCTAACCCTGACTAAAC